CTTCTTTGACTTCAGCCACAGCAACTTCTTATTTGACGTGTCTCCAAAGGCAAGGGAAATAAAAGCAAAAATGAACTACTGGGACCTCATCAAGATAAAAGGCTTCTGCACAGCAAAGGAAACAATCAACAGAACTGAAAGGCAACCAATGGAATGGGAGAAGATATTTGCAAATGATATATTCGATAAAGGACTAGTACCCAAAATCTATAAAGAAGTTACCAAACTCAACACCTGAGAAACAAACAATCCAGTGAAGAAATGGGAAGAAGATACGAATAGACATTTATCCAAAGAAGATATCCAAATGGCTAACAGACACATGAAAAGATGCTTAGTATCACTCATCATCAGGGAAATACAAATCAAAACTACTCTGAGATACCGTCTCACACCAGTCCGAGTGATTGAAAATTAACAACTCCGGAACAACAGATATAGGTGAGGATGTGGAGAAAGGGAGCCCTCTTGCATTGTTGGTGGGAATACAAACTGGTGCAGATGCTCTAGAAAACAGTGTGAAGGTTCCTCAAAAAATTAAATACTGAATTACCCTACGACCCAGCAATAGCACTACTAGGAATTTATCCAAAAGATACAGGAATGCTGATTCACAGGGGCACATGCACCCCAATGTTTATAGCAGTGCTATCAACAATAGCCAAATTATGGAAAGAGCCCAAATGTTTATCAACTGATGAATGGATAAAGAAGATATATAATATATATATGTGCATAATGCAATACTACTTAGCAATGAAAAAGAATGAAATCTTGCCATTTGCAACAACATGGATGTAACTGGAGGGTATCATGCTAAGTGACATAAGTCAGTCAGAGAAAGACAGATGTCATATGTTTTCACTCATACGCATAAGTTGAGAAACTTAACAGAAGACCATGGGGGAAGGGAAAGAAAAAAATATATATAGTTACAAACAGGGAGTGAGGCAAACCATAAGAGACTTTTAAATACAGAGAACAAACTGAGGGTAGAAGGGAGTGGGAGAGTGGAGGTGGGGAAAATGGGTGATGGGCACTGAGGAGGGCACTTGTTGGGATGAGCACTGGGTGTTTTATGCAAGTGATGAATCAAAGGAATCTACTCCCAAAACCAAAAGTAACCCATATACACTGTATATTAATTAACTTGACAATAAATTATATATAAAAATTTTTTAATAAAACCCACATAACTGATAAAGGACTAGTGTGCAAAATATACAAAGAAATCTCACATCTCAAAAATAAAAACACAAACAACCAATTCTCCTTACAGAAAAACTCTAAATAAATTATGTAGATACTCTCCCTCAAGGAGGTGGAGCTTAACTTCCCTATCCCAACTACTAACTTTAGTGCTAACTGCATTTACTGACTTGCTTCCAAAGAACAGAGTATGGGAAAGGACGAAAAACCACAACTATGCACCGGAGAAACTTTGCAAACACTCCCCTAACCAAGTGATAAAGTTAATATCACCAGTGATAAGTCATGTTGATAATATACATCCAAATATAAAAAAAAGGCCACTTTGACTTTGTGGCATTCTTTCTCCAAACCTAGAACCCCAGTCCAACCCTGAGACAAACCTAAACTGAGGAAGATTCTCCTCAAAACTGTCAAGGTCATGAAAAACAAGAAAAAAACAAGAAAACATCAGGCAAGAAGAGACTAAAGAGACATTAGAACTAAATATGATATGCATGGAATCCTGGAATACAAAAGGGGTATTAGAGGAAAAATTAGTAGACTCCAAATAAAGTCTAGAATTTAGTGTGTGTGTGGTAAGAAAATACATATCATAAAATTTACCATCTTAACCATTTTTAAGTGTTAAGTATACTAACACCTTTACAAAACAGATCTCCAGAACTTTTTTATCTTGCAGAACCGAAGTTCTGTAACTATTAAACAACTCCTTTTGCACTCTCCCTCTATCCTTTGGTATATCTCTTGGCTATTGTGACTAGAGCTGCTATGAACACGGGAATGCAAAGTTTTTTTTTAATGGACAAAAGATCTTCAAAACTAAAGAATATGGCAATTAGAAACAGGGAAAGATGATCAACATCATTATTTTTAGGAAACACAAAATAAAACCATAATGAGATATTGCCACAAACCTATAAGAAGCCCAAAACAACCAACCAGACAAACCAGTACTGGCTAGGATATGAAGCGAATGTAACTCTTGCATATTGCTGAGGGGAATGTAAAATAGTTTCTCTCTTTGGAAAACAGTTTGGTGTTTTCTTTATAAGAAACATATATTTAACCATGATAGCCAAAAATCCATTGAGAGGTATGTAACCAAGTGAAATAAAAGCTTGTTTTCATATAAAACCGTGTACAATACTGTTTTCCAGGTCTTTATTCATCATCGCTAACATCTGGAAACTTCTCAAATGTCCTTCAACCTTGCAATGGAAAAATTAAGCTGGCATAGTCTCACAATGGGTATTATTCTAGGATAAAAAGGAATAAACTACTGATATATGCATCAACATAGATGAATCTCAAACGAATTACTGTGTAAAAGAAGCCAGACTCAAAAGACTATATGATCTCATCTCTGGGGTTTTTTTTTTTGAAAGAGCAAAACTAAGAAACAAAGAAAAAGCAAAACTCTGGGGTCAGGGAACAGGTTAGTGGCTACTACAGGTTGAGGCTGAGTGAAGGAGTTGACCTCACAAGCACAAGAGACATTTCTGGGATGATGAGACTCTTTATCTTGATTTTTTTTGGTGATAATTATACCTCTATACACATTAGTCAAAACTCAGAACTGTACATTTAAAAGGGTGCATTTTACTATATATGGAAGTTTAACTTTAAAAACTTGACTTAAAAAACCAAGTGTTTTTTCATCATACTTGAAACAAAATGGAAAGCACTGAAACATGCTGTTTGTTGTATGTCATTTAGTTGCAATTTCTCATTTCCCTATTTGCATTCACCTGGTTAACATTTTAATTCCCTTGGAAGATGTGACCATGCCCAGATATCCTCTCATCTTGTTGCTGTAGCTACTAAGGCTTACCTCATTTGACCGTGCACACAGCCCAGCCGAGTAGGTATGCCAGGCTTCTATAAACTATCTCCCCACTCCAACTCTTCTTCCTTTCCTCACACTGAAAGACATCTTTATTCATCTATTAATGGTTGCTAAGGCCTCTGGGGCAGCTCTCCACCCTCAGAAAATTCTACCTTCTTGAAAACAAGGATAGAGATAAAGCTGGGCGATGCAAACCCCACAAGGAACACTGAGTACATGTGACCATAGGAAGTCTGCTAGAGGGTTCTCATGGAAGACTTCCTAGCTCCTAAAAAAAAAAAAGACCATGTGTCTTGATTCGACCATTGGAACTCGCTATCCTTAGGGGAGCTGACCTGATGCTAAAGCTATTATTCTGAAAATGAGAGCAGAGAAACAGAAAACACCCAGTTCTTGCAAACATTGAGCAAAGGATCACACCTTTCTGGAGTTGTCTTTCCTTATAATTCTTGCCAAGTGAAATCATTTTTCTATTATTTAAGGTAGTTTAAGTCAGTTTTTTTGACACTTGCAGTTGAAAACATCCTACTAATACAAGGCCCTATTCCTACTGTCGAAGACATCACAGCAAAGCTATACATGGCTCTCAGAAGTTATCCTCTACTGCTCTAAAAAACAAAATCTATTACAAAAAATTTTTCTCCTCCTAGGCAATCCTTCTTTTCCACTGTTTGCTTGTACTCTTTCTCCTAGTACTTGTTCCAAATCTCCTCTAGTTTTCTCATGATATGAGACAGAGTTTTCACAAATAGTGTCAATAAAAGGGATAAAGCAAACTAATCTGTAGTGACATAAAACAGATCGGTGGTTGCCCAGAGATAGAAAGCAAGGGATTGATAGGGGTGGTAAAAGGTGGCAGAAGGCATGTAAAGGGATACAGGGAAACTTTTGGTAGGTGATAGACACTTTAATTATTTTTTTCTTCTTTTCTTTTAATGTTTATTTTTTGGTTTATTTATTTTTTGAGAGAGAGACAGAGTCAGTGCAAGCGGAGGAGGGGCAGAGAAAAGTGGAGACAGAATCCAAACCAGGCTCCAATCTCCAAGCTGTCAGCACAGGGCCCGATGGGGGCTCAAACTCATGAACCGCGAGATCATGAACTGAGCCAAAGTTGGACATTTAACCAACTAAGCCATCCAAGTGCACCAGATATGTTCATTATCTTGATTGTAGTGAGAGCTGCATGTACCTATATGTATGTCAAAATTCATGAAATACTGTATACTTTAAACAAGTGCAGTTTATTATATATCAATTATACTTTAATAAAGGTTGTAAATTAGGACTTTTTTAATAGCTTTAGTGAGGGGCTTTCTGTTTCTGTGTAACCTACAGAAACCTTTCCTAATCTTTCAAACTCCAGGAAGGTTTGACTAGACTCTTCACTCAAATTTATAGGGATTAAAAAAAATATAGAAATTTCAGAAATAAGTTATACTTACTATGGCCGCAGAGTAAATTTTCATATTGAGCCAATCACCAGAAGGTTTGCAAGAATGATTTTTATCTAATCCCACTTCCTCTTGTATGTTATGCTAAAAATACATAGGTACATTAAAACTCTTTAAAATCCTGTACCTTCTCAAATCACACAATGTTCCTTTGGGATCCAAGCTCTTCTATTTGCTGCTGTCAATTTCCACCCACTCTTTCACTCCTATCTCACTGGCAGTCACTAAATCCACAGGCCTCCCTCTTCTCTCTCTCTCTCTCATAAACATAAGGCTACAGGGCTGCTAACCAGCTTTCTACTGAGATCAGCCTTGAGTGCCTGAAAGCAAAGAAGTCTGCATATAACTTCCTATAGCCTGAGAAGAAGAGACTTTATTTCTATGCCAGGGAGGGCACCAAGCAACTAGAAGAGAATCTTTTGTAGTTTTTTCCTCTTATATGCCAAAAACCGCAGCTGATGGGGAGAGAACAAAAAGAAAAGACAGCTTACCCATAGAGTAGAGGTTGTCAAAGCTCTGGTGCATGCGGATAATCTCATAGTAGAGTTCATCGTAGCTGCTGGGAGTGGGCAGGAATGTGTCGCCATATGTGATAAACATATTAAATAGGTTCACAATCTAAAAAAGAAGCAAAAGCCCATACACAGGCATTAAGCTATGAAGCAGGATGGTATTATCAGTAGTATCCTGTAGCCAGTTCTTACTGGCTTGCGAGAACTGACTGTTAAATTTTCAGGAATTTTGTGAGCTGGTGTTTAACAAAGCCATTATTAAAAATTAACATATAAACTTACAATTCAATAAACTGTATTAAAATGAAGGTAATACTCAAACTCACAACTTCCTAATTATATTCCTAACTATAATACCTTTTAGTATTATGTTCTTGAGATTCATTTACACCTCTTATACCTGTGTGGTGAGACTATCATATAATGGTGTATTATCCATCACTCTGCATTCAACAATGTCAGACTGTTACCTTGAAATCGGCCACGGTGAGAATAGTTTTACCATAGAAATCCACAAGTGCTACAAAAATCAGGGCTTCTTCCCCACCCAAATGTTAAACATTTATGAACACACTGGATAATATCCTGAAAAGACAGTCTAAAGGCACAATGCCCTCCTTTTACCCCAAATAACCAGTCTGATAAAGAGGAATCTGTAATGTCCCTCTGAAACCAAGTACAGCGATGATGGAACCACTCATCTGGCTGGGACACCTCTACAGGTCTTGCTCTGTACCAACACAGAGACTACAGTAGTCTAGTAGTGTCTCACCTGGGACCAAGGCTCACAGAGACTGACCCATACCTGCTCCTGCCAGACAATATACTCTAATGAAAGACAGTCTTGACTTTGCCAAAGACACAGGAGAGAGTGGGAAGAGTGAGGAGCACCAGTCTAGAGAGTCTAATCCAAAGGGAAAATAAAGGTCTGGCTCCCGCAGTGGCTCAGTCCCCAGAATACCAGCTCCTGTTTCAAACTGGCCCATCTCGATTTTAGGATATGGCTTCAGAAAAAAGTAAAATATTTTTTTAATTTAAGTACAGTTGACAGACATTACATTAGTTTAAGGTGTGTAACCAGGGATTCAACAGGTGTGTAAATAGGGATTCAACAAGTCTATAGGTTGTGCTGCACTCACCGCAAGTGTAGCTACCACCTGTCACCATGTAACACTATTACATCACCAATGACTATACTCCCTAACTGTACCTTTTATCACCACGGCTTATTCTTTCCGTAACTAGAAGCCCGTATCTCCCATTCCCCTTAAGAAATATTTTTTTGTTACTCACCATAAGGGCTAATGTAAAAATGTTGTGTTTGGCCAAAAGTACGGTCTCATTTGACATAAGGAACTTCAGCAAATTTATCAAGGCTTAAAAAAAAAAAGACATCAACAAGCTATTTAAAGAATAATTAATAAAGTTAAATGAAAGCAATGAAAATATACTTAATTCTAAGAAATCCAAATAGGAGTAGAATGAGTAAATCACAGCTACCAAGAACTTTTTAAAAACAGGTAAGGTAGGAGCACCTGGGTGGCTCAGCTGGTTAAGCGTCTGACTCTTGGTTTCAGCTCAGGTCATGATCTCATGATTAATGAGATCGAGCCCTGCACCAGGTTCTGCGCTGACAGCACAGAACCTGTTTGGGATTCTCTCTTTCCCTCTCTCTCTGTACCTTACCTGCTCATACATGCACACTCTCTCAAAAGAAATAAATAAGCTTTAATAAAATAGAAGTAGGTAAGGGAGATATATTCAAAGCAAGCACTGACCTTCCCAAGCATATATCTGCTTACCTGCCCATAGAAGGTTTCCAAAAATCTACTTCTTTGTACCACTTTTTTTAAGGGGGGGATACCATTAGTTTATTACAAAAGAGAGACATGCAAATTATTTACATGACAAAAGATTTCACAACTTCGTTGGAATGGGCAGCTTCACTTGATGCCAGTTCAAAAATGATTTATTTCAGTCTACATACTTTACAAGAATGTCACCATCTCTAAATAAGAAACAATCCTTGTCATCTAGAACTACTCTGGTGCCTCCACATTCTGAAAGAACTTGGTCTCCAACTTCCTGGTTGGATCCCTAACTAGCTGAATCTCTCCAGCCTTCCCTTTAGAGCCCCATCTAACAGCTACTCCTGTTGCTTGCAATACTTTTCCTTGAGATTGTTCTGGAAGCATCATGCCTCCTTTGGTCATAGTTTGGGCTGTGTTCCTTTCGACTAAAACTCAAAGAGGGGAAGAAACTTTCTAAAGGCCTGTCCTGCCGTGACTCCAGCTGCCGCGGTACGTACTCTGCTCACGAGACCCACAGTCCCACCTCTTCGTGCAACTTTTTTTTTTAATGTTTTATTTATTTCTGAGAGAGAGAGAAAGAGAGAGCCAGCATGAGCAGGGGAGGGTCAAAGAGAGAGGGAGACACAGAATCCAAAGCAGGCTCCAGGCTCCAAGCTAAGAGTACAGAGCCCGATGCGGGGCTCGAACCCACAAACCACGAGATCACGACCTGAGCCGAAGACGGGCGCCCAGCTGACTGAACCACCCAGGCGCCCCCGTGCAATTTCTTAAACAGCAAGTAAGCTTGCAAATCTGACTACAAAAAGGACATCTGAGTGTTCCAAATGTATCCCCACATGGCGATTACCACATTTGTTCAATTTAGAGGTCAAAATGAAGGTCCTCCTCTCACCCTAGGCAGCAAGCATGTCATGTCACTAAGTTTTAGCTATGCATTTGTTGCAAACACCATAGCTGAGAGGGACATCTTTCAATTCTAACAGGTCACCAGAAATGCCAGCAATGCTGGACTTCAGCTCTAGATAGGAAAACAGCTGATGAAGAGAAAAAAAGGCCCTTAACTCTTCAAACAGAAGTACAGCTTGCTCTGTCCTCTCTCAACCATGACAACATTTACCAAAAAGGTCCCCTTTCTCTCTGGTAATTTTTTTTTTTAATGTTTTATTTATTTCTAGGAGAGAGAGAGAGACAGCGTGAGCAGGGGAGGGTCAGTCTCTCTGGTAATTTTCAATGAGGATTAAAACCCAAGCAACCTCAGCTGAAAGACTGACTGTTAAGTCTCTAGCTTAACGTGTAGGTGTAAAGACATTTTTGCAAATAAATACTAAGGATAAAAGAAATCATCAGTTGCCTCATGCTCTTTCACCCATAACCACGAAATAAGTCCTCGATCTGTGCCCATCATGGCTACTGTCCCTGTCCCTACCTCCCTTAGTTGATGGGAAACTATACAGAAGGAGCTCAGCAATTGACTGAGCTGCAAGCAATTGGCAGTCCTTCTGTCTTCTCCCCCTCAACCCTCTCTACTCCCTCAGACATAAAAAAAGGCTTGACCTCTCCTTTTCTAAGACCATACCTGCTTCTTTGCCAGCAAAGAAGTCCATTCTCCCATGCTGTCTGAGCTTTGTGTGAAGTTTACTACCCTTCGAGAAAAGATGTGAGCTTTGATTGGAAACAGCAGGGAAGACGGGTAGGAGTAAGACTCTCCAGACACTTGCCGCCTGCCACACAACACCCCTTATTCTCAACCTCTGAAATCACAGGTACAGTAAAGAAACAGCAGGCAAGGAAAAGTACAAGAGCCTGTCTACATTCTGTTTCTAAAACCTGAATCTTCCCCTCAAATAGCAAAAAAGCCTTGCTAGAGATGAAGGTGATAGGCATCCTCATTTATGAACTCTTCACCCTTGCACTGACTCCAGTTCTCTGAGATTTCATAATGGAAAGGCAAATGATAGGCAGCTGGCCCTTTTGATGTCATCAGTTAACAAGCAATCTGTTGGACTAGATCCCAAAAAAAGCTCCATAGGAGCCCATTCGGGATCACACAATCTGCTTAACTCTTACTGGGAGCTCAGAGAATGAAGGGGGCTAGCTAAAATCCACATAAAAATGACTAACCTAGCCCAAGCCTCTCCCAGCAATGGAGATCATCTTGCTGAGTTATTTAAGGACTGCCCAACCACCCCCTACCCCAGAGCTCGGACAAGTCCTGTTAATGGATAAATCACCTGACAAGCAAACTCTATAAACTCACAAGAGACAAGAGAAAAGGAAGGGTAGAGCACATGGCTCTCTACAAAACACAATGGCTGGAGAGAGACAAAGCAGCTTTTGCACGCATCCAATCAGCAAGGGCTTTTGACCCCAACACACGCGGCAAAAAGATGCAGCCTCAGCAGTGGTTCTGTGGTAATTAAGGGAAGAAAACCTAGAGAAAAGGAGGTGGGAGCGATGATTTATTGCTCCTCTGCTGGACTACAGCTAGTCTTGATCCCTGGGATTCAGAGCCAGGGATGACAAAGTGATAAACACAAGGGGAGGAAGAGAGCAATTCTGGCATAGGCCAAGAGGCAACCGGTGTCCCAACTACCACAGCCGTCAGTGGGGCCAAACAGCACTGAGAAGTAGAGTCCAGCACTGCGATACTGTCAGCACCAGGGAGAACCTGCATCCCACCCCTGATAATTCAAGCAGACTCCTATCCACCCCCCACATCCCCAAAAGGCCAGGGTTTTCTCATCTGGAACTAGTCATTCTCTAGAGGAAATTTAATAGGCAGAGAAAATGAACAAAGCAATCTTAAAATTGGCTCCACAAACCTCTGACATCGGGGACCACAATTCCTCCAGCAGGAATGCCCCAACCTCCCATGTAACAGTGCTTTCCTTTCTCCTTCAACATCGCCCTGACTTTGCACTCACTCTGTCAACTGTTTGGTGTCCCCCACATCACTACACGCACAGTGTGCTATCCTGTGACCTGATGTAGCAGGAGTTCTAAGTCTGTGAGGTTTCAACACAGCTGATTTTCGGAACTAGAAAGGACCCTGGAGATCGTGTAATCCAGTTCCCTCGTTTCTGGATTAGAAAACACTTCCTCCCCTCCCCAACCACCCACCCACCCCAAGTAGCTAGTGACTAAGCTGGGACTAGAACCCAAACCGCTGCTTAGTGTTCTTTCTGCCATTCCATTACGATTAAATAAAGGTGGATTAAATAAACTCCAGATGGAGTTAAATGTTAAAGGGAAAGAAACTTACCTATAAATGGTGTGCTTAGATTTGCTGACTACACTGTTCCCAACACTTCTCTAGGCTCTGGTTTATAACTTTCTCTACCTACTTGCTGTTCCAGTTTATTTTCATGTTTTTGGTCCACTTTTTCTCTTGGTCCTGAGCTACTTACTAGAGTACAGGTGTTTAATACCTCATTATTACCCTTCTACTGCCCATTTGCAACACTAGGACTCCAAGCAGCGAGCTTCTCTCAGCATTAAACGCCTCAGCAGGGCCTCTATATCTGCTCTCATTGCTCTTCTCCACAGCTCACCTCTCACGCACCTCTATCCCCTCTTCCCTGTTTCTGCTAAAGAAAGAAAGAAAGAAAGAGAGAGAGAGAGAAAGAGGGAGGGAGGGAGGGGGGAAAGAAGAGAGAAAGAAAGAAGAGAGAGGAAAGAAGGAAGGAAAGAAGGACAGAAGGAAGGACAGAAGGACGGAAGCGAGCACACAGGGGTAGGGAGAGAGGGAAGGGGGAAGGAGAAAGAGAGAGGAAAGGGAGAAATAGCACATGACTGTCAACTAAAACTATTCCTATGCCCCTCACTCAGCTCTTCCCCCTTGAAAATTAAGTACTGATGGGGGTGCCTGGGTGGCTTAGTCGTTAAACATCTGACTTTGGCTCAGGTCATGATCTCACAGTTCATGAGTTCAAGTCCCACGTTGGGCCCTGTGCTGTCAGCTCACAGCCTGGAACCTGCTTCCGATTCTGTGTCTCTCTCTTTCTGCCCCTCCCCAGCCCACACTCTGATTCTCTCAAAAATAAATAAAGGTTAGGGGCGCCTGGGTGGCTTAGTCGATTAAGCGTCCGACTTTCGCTTAGGTCATGATCTCGCGGTTCATGGGTTCGAGCCCCGCATCAGGCTCTGTGCTGACTGCCAGATCAGAGCCTGGAGCCTGTTTCAGTCTGTGACTCCCTCTCTCTCTGACCCTCCCCTGCTCACGCTGTCTCTCTCTCTCCTAGAAATAAATAAAACATTTAATAAAAAAAAAAAAACCTCCTTTATTTAAAAAATAAATAAATAAATAAAGGTTAAAAAAATTTTAATAAATAAATAAAATTAAGTACTGAAACTGGAGTATGATTGGATCTGGACTTAAAGGGAGCCAAGATCCCCTTTCTTTATGCAAAATCAGAACAAAAACAAAACAAAACAAAAACACTGGTATAAATAACTAGCAGCCAGGCTTATTTATAAGCTATTATAGTATAGAGTTATGCACAGGATTTAACTGCAGGCCAAAGAAGAGAACAGCTTCATGTCAGCCAGGGACAAGTTCAAGGACA